AAATGAAAGAAGCAATAGTCTATGCTTGCATAAATGCGGAGAGGGAAGGAGCAGAATTCCCACAACTAGTTGCCAACCGATCCCAAGCAGCCTCATCACCCTCTAGGAAAATAGCAGCCAAGAGGAATCAAAGGTTAAAAGATTTAGAAGCAGCGGTCAATTTAGCAGAAGGAAACCTCATAAATAACCCAGGAGAGACAATCTACGAGGAGCTCCTAACAAGATCCAAAGCAGAACTAGCCAATTGGAACACGTGGAAGACTAAGGGACTACGCATGCAAGCTAGAATCAAAGAATGGGAAGAAGGGAAAAAAAATGACTAAGTTCTTTTTCCAAAAAGTTAAAGCAAGGGGAAGAAAAGCAGCCATTCATCGGTTAAGAGGAGAGGAAGGACTGACGTCAACCCCAAAAAAATGCTATCTATAGTTGAATCCTTCTACAAAAACCTATATATATCCAGAACCGAGAAACCAACGCCAAGGTCCGTCCTCAAGGCAAGCGAGAAATTAACCAAACATTTAGACAAAACAATCCCCGCCAACTTGGCCAACCAATTAGATAAGCCCATAACCAATGAAGAAATAAAAAAATCCTTGGATTTGATGAAATCAATGAAAACACCCAGGTTAGATGGTGTATCCAAAGAATTTTGGCAAACCTACTGGCCACTCTTGGGAGAAGAATTATGCAACTTCACGAGAACGGCATGGACAAAAGGGGGACTCGGTCCCTACCTTAGCTTAGGAATAGATACCCTATTATACAAGAAGGGAGACCCAACAGACATTAGGAACTATAGACCAATTACTCTCCAAACAGTGGCATACAAAATCCTAGCCAAACTCCTAGCTAATAGGATAAGGAACATCACCAGATCTTGCTTCCACATAGACCAAACGGGTTTCATCCCAGGCAGATTCATATTAGACAATGTAATGACACTAGCAGAATCAGTAAGATACATCAATGACAAGAAAATCAACGCAACCATCCTCTTCTTTGATTTCGAAAAAGCATATAACCAGGTCAATTGGGACTTCTTACAACAATGCACGGAGAAAATGGGGTTGGGCCCAAAAACGGACACATATCCAACACTTATAGGATGTCTAGATCAGTGAGACAAGGTGATCCACTAGCAGCACCAATCTTCCTCTTCATAATGGAGGCCATAGTCTCATTTCTCAGAAAAGATCCCTCCATAGAAAGGATCACGTCGCCATCAAAGGACAATACCCGTAACCGTACCATTCCCCCCACCAACCTTTTTGTCGATGACCTGACAGTGTTAATTAGAGCTACTAACTCCTCCTTCGAGGCCCTCACGAGAACAATGAATGCATACCAGCTGGCCTCAGAAATGCGGATCAACTGGCAAAAAACAGTAGGTTGGTGGCTAACAAACGACAACAGGAACCCCCTCAGTCCTCGCCTGAAGGCATGACATGGTTTGATCCAACGTCGCAATAAAATTTCTCGGAATCCAACTTAACGAAGAGGGAGCAGCTGCAGAAATTGCACCTAACCTGCTTCCAAAAATGATCACAAAACTTAATGCATGGGAGAAGGTTCACACCTCGCTATTCAGACGAGCCCTAATTCTAATTACATCTATCTTCTCAATGATGTGGTACGTTGCAGCCTTTTGGAACCCTGACCACAGGGCAATGAATGACCTCAAAAAGAAGGCAACAGCCTACCTATGGACAGGGGATCCCTCTAGACAACACTTCATAACCAAGGTCGCATGGCATTTTGTCACAAGGAAGAAAAGTCAAGGAGGATTGGGAGTGTTAGACCCGACTACTCAAATAAAAGCCCTTCAAACCAAATGGATACTCAAATTGCTAACTTCACCCAGCCTTCCATGGAGGGAGCTAGCTCTGGAAGGGATTCAACACCTCCCTGTTTACAGCACCCCACCAAATATGGAAGGCTCCTTTTGGTTAATGAGTAAATCGTCGTCGATGAAACGAAAATCACCAATCATGCAACAGACTAAAGGAGGAGCAAGACTACACTTCTGGACGAATATCATCAAGGCATGGAGATAAATTTTCCCCGCTAAGGTAAGAAAGCCACAAAACAAAGAGAAAATCCTCAGGCAACCATTATTCTGCAACCCGTGGATAACTGAGGACGAGGAAAACCCCTTTATGCTAACCACAAAAGACACAAGATGGGGAGCTTGGATAGAAAAAGGAATATGGCAGGTGAAACACATATGGGATCAAGAGTGGATGTAGGAGAAACGGTTGAGAAGCACTCTCAAAGGATGCCACCGTTTAGCGAACAACCTACAACAAATAACTGCTAACATACCCCCAGAATGGATGCCAACCCCAAAAAACAATAGACAATGGGCGAGGGGCGACTGGGCGATAATGACACACACGTTCCCCCTAGTACACGTATTCTCGTACAAGGAACAGGCAGAAGGGAAGGCTAACTGGATCACTTTCACTATGCACATAATAGAAGACCCGCATAAAGACTACAGTAGACTAAACAAAAATAGTGAAGGTCAGGTCAGAGTCAGAGAAAGAATATCTCGAAAAAGTAAGAGTACTGGAAAATGACAATCTAACCCTTTATAATCCACAAACTGCGCTAGAAAATTTAGAGGTTGACCCAGCAGAATGGGCATGGAATCATAAACAGAACCAGGGGAATTAATCTAAAACTTAACATCCTTCTATACACCACAAGCCTTGGATACAAATTAAGAAGAAGATCTACAAACCCTGCCCCAGTGATATCAGAGAGATGGTCGAATCACCTACAAGCGGACCCAGAAAATTTTACTCAGATGCCATGGAACCAATTAGCCATAATCCACCCTCCCAAATTCAGAAGTCTACAATGGCTCATTCTCTACCTCGCTGTCCCACTAAATCAATGGCTAAATGTGAGAACAAGAAAAGAAGACAGAAGCCCACTAAAAGAGCTTTGTGCCATATGTACAGAAGGTCAGATAGAGGACCTTTATCACTGCTTTTTCAGATGCCCAAGAATACAAATCATATGGCAAAGAATCAGGAAGCTTTGGGACAAAACGTTTTCCCTAGAATTCACTAACAATCCCATCCTCCTACTAATAGGCTTCAATATACCAAAGGAATGGCCTAACTTAGCAAACAATTTCTTTCAAATCATCAGAAAGGCTTCAATTTGGACTATCTGGAGGAAGAGATGCCAGGAGACAATAGAGAAGAAGCAACCAATGCACAATCAGGAAGCGTGGGCTCTATTCCAACAGCAGGTGGAAACAGAATTCTGGGTCCTATGGCGCAGAGAGAGGAAGAGAATGAGAAAAGATGAAACAAGAGCAAACGAGCACAAAGGCAAATTTGAGACCAACTTCCTGGCAGGAGGTAAAATTGCAAGGATCAAAGGTCACAGTCCAGTCTTCACACTTTGGGAAGGAAGCACAAGTCCCCCACAAGCCGACTCACACTCTCTTATCAGCATCCCAGAATCTTTTAAGATCTACATGGAATCCGCATAGAAGGACTAATCAAAGAATCATGCCCATCCCTAGAACACAGACTATCACAATCAACCAAACCAAAGAACGTAACGAAGGCAGAACCAAAGAGCTTCAGGAAAACAGAAGTAGGGGCGCAGATAAGATAAGGAGACTAGTACAGCTACCAGAGAAAATTGGTCTAGTCCAGCTCAAACACAGACAAAAATGTTTAATAACAACACCAAATAAAGGTCCTTAGGGTTTAAGGTTCTACTACATATTACATCCAAGTAGGCTAGAATCCAAGGTCCTACAAGAAAAAGTCAGCAAACCTCCCAAAGGAGAGAGGAAAAAGTCAACTAGGAGCGAGGACTCTAGTAGAGTATCCAGCAACCGATAGGACAGGGTTTACAGTTTTAGCAAGGACATAGCAATACACCAAGCTAGCAGTTCCAGCAAAAGGAAGCAAAACAGTCACCCAAGACGCAGAAAGGAACAGGCAGGCTCAGCCCTAAAGAGTTGATTCACAGGTCCTAAAAGTTAGGTTTTTTCAGACTAGCATTATAAAGCAAGTTTTAAAAGGTACAGGGTAACTTAGGCAGGGGTACAGGGTGGTGCATCCTCCCTTGAGGAAGTAAAACCAAGGCTAGATAGACAAGGGTTTAGGGTTAGGACAGTCTCAAGACAAGTAGGGTTTAAAGCTCCAGGATCTCAAGAAATCCACAAGTGCCCCTGATTGCTCTAGCATAACACACCGACCCGACAGCATTGCAGCTGAGAGGAGCAGGACTGTGGCCAGTGAGATTAGCAAGGGCCTTCCAGATTAAGCATCACAGGCTAACTTAAGCAGGGGGGAGGGGTATATCCTTCCACAAGGAAGCAATCGATGCCGCTCACTCGGGCCTCCCAGCCATAATGGGGAGGAGCATGCGTAAGTTTCCCATGTATTCCATATTGACTTGCTGGGGAAATAGGAACCGGACTGTCGCTCTCCAGAATGGCAGTAGCCAGAACCAAGAGGTTCTGTGGAAAAAAAAAAAAAAAACTCCACCACTACATACCCCCCCCCCCCCCCCCCCCCCCCCCCCCCCCCCCCCCCCCCCCCCCCCCCCCCCCCCCCCCCCCATCCCCAAAAGTTTCTCAGCGGATTTGGGCTGTACTCGAGCAAGCACAGTACAGCCCCCAACTCAGATTTGAAAAAAGGTCAGTGGATGGCTGTTTTCCGGCTGGTCGGCAGACTGCCGACCGGTCAGCCACTGGTCACCTGCAAAACGGTCAGCGTCGGGGTCGGCGGTTGGGAGGTATGCAACCCTGGTCGTTCCCAAGAAGACAAAACAAACAGATACTTCATTTGCCTGCCTCTGTTCCCCAGACTTCACTTTTGAGTCCCATGACTCCCATCCCTTTTGCAGCCCCATCTGGCATTTGCAGGGACTGAAAACTGAAGCATCGACCATTGTCATCAAAACATAGGAATCAAACGAAGTATAACTGTATTACAAAACTCAAACAAAAAGAGGTAGCAACTCACCTGCACTGTCCAAGTACGCGATTGACCCTAACATTGACAACAGTGGGAGCTGGTACTGGTAGTCGTAAATATTCAGCTGTAACAGGTCCTTGGAATCGACCAAGTGTCCCTTTCCGCAACTCAGAGCACTGAAGATAGGTATTCAAACCTGTAAAACTGCCTTTCGAAAGTGTAATGCATGGAAGATCTCCGCCTAGTTCTGCTGCATCAAACTGAACTTCCCAGATATGTGTCCAGCAGCAGGAGCTCCTCTTGGTCACAGACACAACCCCTGGTTCTAGATTCAGCATGATGTCGAGAGCATTTCTCATCACCTCACTGGATGCATCCCATGGAACGGAAACATTTCCTTTGCCTCGGAAACTCATCTCAAACATGCCAGTCACAGGGGGTGAGAGGCTCCTTAAGCGCGAAGTAGTCACGTTGATGTCTCGTCCCAAAAGATTGCTCATGTCAACCTGCAGAAGTGGAAACTCAGTAGTCCGACGGGGAAAGTTGATCTGCCACCTGCGAACCATATGTGTCTCGTTGACCCCCATAACTTGGACACTGGCTGTTGCGCCTGACAGAGATGTCAACTCATATATAATTGAGCCAATCTTCCAATCAGGAATATCAAATGGGACTTTGGACACATCTCGGCCACCACCATCCAGATACAAATCGAAAGTGCCTCCCAGATCAGGGACATAAGCCTGTTCTCTGACAACCTCAGCCTTCCCTGGAGGAGCTGCTTCTGGTGCTTTGGCAAATTCTTCAGCACCTTCGAGCAAATCCGACCAGACCTCATCCATGGGAACCAAAATTGCCCCTACCAGTGCTGGCTCCCCCGAAAACTCATCCAAAAGATCAGAACTCCAGTTATCCCACTCGATGACGTAGTCCATGCTAGCTGCATCTCCATCACCAGTCTGCACACAGTCTACTTTTAATGGTGCAGGAAGGGCACTCAAGGTCTTCAGGGCCTCCTTTATGTCCCAACAGGAAGTGGGACCAAGTTCAACAGAGGATAAAGCTTCTTGGCTGAAGAACGTGAACAAAACACCCATGCTTCCATTGTATGATTGCCATGCAGGCACTCGTATGCGTTGCACCTCATTCCTTGGACGTGCATAAGTTATTCTGTAGGATGGCAATCATTTTCAACAATAAGCCAACATGCCCAGCATCAGTTCCATCATCTAAGTCTTTAAATCTGTGAGCAAATTTTATCAAAGTTCATTAAACTGATTTGATCTAACAGAGTCAACAAGATAAATATGCCACACCGTATGCCAAAAGCTTTATTGAAAACCACTCCTTCATTCATCCCCTGAAAGTAAATCTGAGATTTCAGAAGTCAGCATGCTGTGAAGTTCTCTATATCTGGCATCCGTTAAAATTGGAACAATACGGAGAAGATTAGCATGGCCCCTGCACAAGCGTGACACGCATAAATCGAGAAATGGTCCACATTCATATTAAAAAAAAAATAAAAAAAATGCACACACTCTTGTCGGTTTCATCCACTGCACACAAGTTTGTTTATGGTCTGCTGTCTATTTGGTGCGCACACGTATGTGATTCTTTCAGTTCCGGCATGCCAAGAGCTGTTGTGGAGCTATCCAGTGATGGAGATGGAAACGAAAGATGGAAGATATTGAGAGGTCCCAAGGTAAGGGCATGGGAGGAGGCAGAACTGCTTGATCAACCACTTCTCTTTAACCACCATTGCAAGGAGGGGGAAGATGATACAAAGCGAATTTACTCAATAACAACTCCTCAGATGGCTATGACCAAGCAATGAGAGAGAAAATGAGGACAGGAGAAAATAAAAAAAATGGAGCTCTCTACAATGGAGACAGCTGGGAAGGCACTCAAAAAGCTCATAAAGTTTTCAAAGGAGACCGCTACCATCTTCCCCCAAATCAAACATGGGGTGCATGGTATTTTTACCTGCCCAAAGGAAGGAAATGGGGGAAGGCAGAATGATCCATGCATCGAGATATTCAGAAATTTCAAATTTCACATAGGGCCTCGTTCCACACCACTCCGCTTTAGAAATACTTGAGAAATTCCTCGTTCCACACTGCACTGCACTTGAGTTTCACCTTCCCTAATCGCGATTAGGCTTCCCGCCTCTCCCAGCGCCCGCCAAAAACGTAAAGTGCGGCTCAAGTGCGGCCCAGGCAAATAGGTGATTTTTTCAAGTCACCTCTCCGGCCACACTTGAGCCGCACTTCAAAACGGCGCAAGTGAGAGCCAGGAGGCGGTTGTAGGCGCTGCACGTTCCCCCGTTTTTCCTTTTTTTTGTTTTACATCCCCCCTTCCCTCGCGCCAACAGCCTCTGCCACTTTCCCGCTCCTGTTTCGAGTGTGGAGTGGAGTGTAACGTCGAACCGTGCCAAGCTCAAGTGTTTTTTAATGACGATTACCCTGTGACGCAGCTCAAGTGCCGCACTTGAAATTGAAGTGGAGTGAAGTGGTGCGGAACGAGGCCCATAGATCTCCAACCCTCCCCCCAAAACAAAACGGCTTCCTGCAAAAAACTGCAAGCACCTTTCTCGGTACGCGTAGAACAGTTAGTTGGAAAAGTTCCCCCAATAACTTCTGAAGTTCCCTGGCTGTACACGGAGGCCATCTAACGGACTTTCACCAAAAGTGAATTCTCAATCGGTGCACAGCTTGCCATGAACTTTCCCCGGCGGCCGATGCGCGTTAAGGGGTAGGATACCTCAAGGCCATCGTCAGATTTAGGGCTACAATGTTGCTTTGTAACATCAAGTGATGAAATCGAGGCCACAGAGATGAGATGATGTCAAATGTTTAAGGATGGGATAACTTATGCCTAACCTGGGCGCGGTTTTGGCGGTGCAATTTTATGCTCAAGCGCTGATGCTCGTTGCCATACCGGGGCAACCAGCTAACCCTAATTCACACCGACTATGATGTGCGGAGGGGGAGCAGCATTTCTCCCAGAGAGAAGTAGTGTTCACTTCAGGATACTTGAGGAAGATGTGCTGTTACTGGGAATTGGGTTTCTTTTTTTTTTTTTTTAACCTCTTGGCTCTGGATCCTACCATTCTGGGGAGCAACAGTCCGGTTCCTTTTCCCCCGGCAAGTCAATTTGGAATACATGAGTGATTCACGCACGCTCCTCCCCATTATGGCTGGGAGGCCCGAGTGGACGGCATTGATTACTTCCCTGAGGAAGGATATACCACCCCTCGCCCCTGCTTAAGTTAGCCTGTGCTACTTATTTTGTATGGCTGCTACCTGACTGTCTGGCCACATTCCTGATCCTCTCAGCTGTGTTGTTCTTGAGTTGATGTGTTAGACTAGAGGTGCCTGGAACCCATGTGGCCTTCTTGAAATCTCTGCCTCTTTAAACCCGACTTATCTTGTTTTTGTCTAGACCCTAAACCCTGAACCCTCGGCTGTGTATATCATGTCTTGGTGTGGTTGATGGGGTTGATCTGAAATCTAGGTGTCGCTTGAAAGGGCATTGTTTGGATTTCAGTGAGGGTGTTCTTGGAAGGGGCAGAGTTGAGATCTTGGGGGTAGTTGAGTTGGGTGATTTTCAGCTGGCTGTGGTGTACTCAGTGATGTAGGGGGTTTGTGCGAGAGGAGGGGACAGGAGGGGAGGGGAGGGGTGTTAGGAGGTTGAGGTGGTATGATG